ACACCCGGTGGGCCGCGCCCAGGAGCGGGAGCCAGGGCGTGAGACACGGACAGACCCCCACACACACCCGGTGGGCCGCGCCCAGGAGCGGGAGCTGTAAAAACAAGCAGCTTAGAGATGTCTCGCTCCTTAGTGAAACGATGCAGAACCACTCGGGAGGCAGCGTGTTCCACACGGACCACTGCTCCCCTCTCCCTCAGCTCCTGAGGACTGAGTTAAATTAAACCCATATTCTAGGTCAACCAAGTGGCCGCCATGTTAAAAGCTCTAGTTATTTTGATAAAGATACAGGTATTTGTCCATGCACATGTCGCCTCGAATCTGGGTTGACTCTCTGGGCTGCGCCCCTTCCCCTCCAGTGTGGCTACCGATTGTGTAAGAGGAAAAGCGCCGGCCTCCAGCGGACAGGGATAAAACGCCGCCAGCCCCGTGTGGCCGCCGCCCACGAGGTAACGTGTGTTTCCTCAGGAAAAGGTTCGCCGTGATACAGTGGGGAAAGGAGAAAGTGACTCGGAGGAGAGGCAGGAGAGGGATGAAGGACAGAAACTCTTTGCTGGCGGACATCTAGATTTTCTTCTTCAACCGTGGAACATGACGGAACACTATCGGGACACAGAGCCGGCCCCTCACTGTTAACAGGGGAATGGACTTTGGGAATCGGCCCCGGGCGCCCGTGCTCAAGGCTCCAACCGGCCCCCACAAAGCCGGCTCACCTCCTGTGGGACTGCAAGCGCCCAGTCCAAAACCAGGAAGAAAAACCAAGAACCACCCACGTGAAAAGAGAAATGTATCCCCCCAGATAAAAGAAGGAACGTCTCCTCCCACACCACTGGGACGAGCTGAGGCCCAGAGGGAGGAGGCAGAGCCAAAGCAGAGGGGAATGAGGGGGAAGGCGGCCCCAGGCCACCACAAGGGCCTCCGGGGGTCGTGTGCTGACGAGAACCACAGCCTCAGTCCTAAACCAAGTCCATCTCGAAGCGTGACATCCCCGAGGGGCAGGACAGGGGGACGCCCTCTACAGGAGCCGCTTCCAGGTTCACTTCTACACCTTCTACAGGAGACTGTCTTTTTTCCTGAAAATATCAACTGAGAATTTCCCATATTTATTAAATTATAAGTCTGCAGGCACAGTTTGAGCAAGTGAGTTATACAGTCACTGAAGTCCCAAAGCACTCACAGGACTGAGCACACGAAGCCGGCACTTGTATGTTTAGGGAAAGGAAGCACATTGCTAATGGAAGCCACGGGCCTGGGCAAAAATTAATGTTCTGTGTTGAGTAGTAAAATAAAAGGGGGATTCTATCCCGAGGCCACCATCTCATGAAAGGCCCATGGGTTAGTGCAGCTGCAAGGGGGCTCAGGATGAACAGAAGCCTGAGAAGCAGAGAGGTTAGCTCAGAATTCAAGGGCCCCTCAAGACACAGGACGAGTACGAGATGCATGACAGGGCCACACCCCAATTCCAAAGGGGCAGTGGGGGTTGGCCACAGCCCTTACTTTCAGACACAGAGGCCCTGGCGAGGAAGCAAGGAGGGGCGGGAGCAGGGCGGGAGGGCAGGGCCAGCCGCGTGCAGCAGGTGAGGGCGGATGAGGGCACCAGGGAGAGGGGTGGGAGCCCCCTCCCCTGCTCTCGGGCTCCAGTGCCCGAGCTTGGAAGAGACCCCACTGTCTGTGAGCACAAGGACTCAGACCCTCACAGATGGGGACCTGCTCTGCGCTCCTCACTCACACTCAGGCTTCTCTCGTGGTGCTTTAAGTGTCACCAAGAGGTCCTCATCTCAGAGTGTCCCTGTTCGGCTGTGCAAGCCTACCGCCTCGCTCTCGGGCATCCACAGACAGCAGCAGGCGGAACCACGCTGGGTGCCTGGGAGCGGTGGGCCACTGGAGTCCCAACAAGGCCGCTCGTGAAGTCCACAGAGATGCACAGCTCCAGGAAGTGACGCCGCCTTTTCTCCGGGAGGCTGTGAGCACAGGACAGAAAGAAATGAGGCCCCTGACCTTCCCACACCATCCCTCAAGTTCACGTCCAACACTGAGAATGAACAAATGATGTGACTATGGCTCAAAAATGACACACGGTCCTCTTGTGCAAGAGACCAGTGCACACGTACACACACGCACACTCGCACACGCCCCCCAAACCGACCTCAGCGACGATAGCTGAGGCTGGTGGCCTTCGCTGGATGAGTCACAGACCAAAAGTTCCGTCTACTCTGAAGCTTCTGGAAGGCATTGAAGGTTCTCTTCTTCTCTCTCTTGAACTTTTTCATTTTCTTTTCCTGTATCAAGAATCACAGGTGTCACCGCTTCCAAAAAGGATCTGTGGTGGCTCCTGATGGCAAATACTTATTGAGCGCTTGATCTATGCAAGGAACCCTGGTGGCACAATGGTTAAACGCTCAGCTACTATCTGAAAGGTCGGCGGTTAGAACCCACCAGCTGCTCCACAGGAGAAAGACCTGGCTATCTGCTTCCATAAAGATTACAGTCTAGGAGACCCTATGGGGCACTTCCACTCTGTCCTACAGAGTTGCTGGGAGTCTGAATCGACTCGACGGCAGCGGGTTTGGTTTTGGTTCTCCGTACAGGTGTGAGTCTACGTGCGTCATGCAGACTCACACGTAACCGTCACTATAGGTGGGGTTCCCCTTACTGACCCCACTTTGCTGATGGAGGCGCTGAGGCAACGGGAGGGTGAGGACCTGCTCACAGTAAGTGGCGGAGCTGGGATTTGAACCCAGGCCATCTGGCCCCAGTCACACCCTCAACCACTTTCAGATGCTGCAGTCACCTCACACTGCCCTGAACGCGGTAGTGAACTCCCCCTGCCCTCAACCCCAGGCTACCCTGAACCGTCCTATGGGGCCCACAGCCACGACCAAACACCATTACCTTCCCACGATCAAAGTCTTCATCCCAGTCGTCAATCACCGTCTCGGTCCGGGCCAGTCTGCTGTCTTCAATAGCGTCCCGACTGACAGCAGACATCTCGCCATCCCATGTCAAAACTACAAAACAGACACAGTGTCGGGACGTCTGGGGACTCCTAGCTACCCTACGGATTCAATTCAAGGGTGTAGTTTACGAGCTAGACCCGTCCACTCCTGACAATTCACCCTCCTGGTCACATGGACAGGCAAAGAAGGAAGGGGGAGGGGCAGAGTGCTCTTGTGGGCGGGGCTGTGAGCCACATGCAACCTGCAGAGTCCCATCCTCCTGGGTCAGTGCATTTCAAGCTTTTTAAATCCACTGTCCTCACTTGAGAAACAATGACCCCATACTCCTTCTCTAGATCTGGATTACAAAGATAACACTCCAGATAAGAACTTACCTTATAGGTGCTGGGTGAGTTCTCCCCACCCCTAGAGACCCTACAGCCTTCCTGGCCCCGGATCCCCACAGAGGTACCCCTCTGCCCCCCACCCAGGGACACTCTCCACCGACAGCACCCGCAGGCCAGGGATGTGCCTGACCTTGGCGCAGTGGCTGTGCTGGGTAGAGATGGTTATGACAAACATTTGAACACCTGTTCCCATGTTAAAGCCGGGTTACGCCCACCCGCCACGTTCACCACATAGCAGGATCTGTTTCTTACTTTTCCCACCCGGAAAATAAATCAATCAAAGGGAAAAAGCAGTCCAGTCTCAAACCCAGTACCTTTTCTCCCATAAGCTTTATCAGATGAGTATCTGAGCAATTCCTGGACCACGTCAGACTGTCTCTCTGTGTCCCAGGACCCAAGCGGGCCGTGTGTCTGCCCTGCAACCAGAGCAGCCGAGATCAGTCATTTTCATTTACAACCAAACCACCCTTCATCTGCACCAGAACAAGGACTCAGTGATGACAAACGCCTTATGGGGCGTGCAAGAGCGAGCGCACCCTGGCCGCCTCTGACGAGGGAGGTGACAACTGTCATTACTCAGCAGAAAAGGCTCAGAGTCCAAACCAGTTCTTCAAAAAGAAAAGACAAAACAGAACAAAAATCCAAATAAACATTTTAAAAAGGGAAGATACTCAGACATGTCGGCCCCGGACCTGACGGGGACGGTGGGGGAGACCTAGCTCAGGTGGAATCGCTCTCCCCCATCAGACAGACAAGGCCAGGGCGCGGGAGCCCGGCCTCCCCCATCAGACACGGACAGGGCGCGGGAGCCCGGCCTCCCCCATCAGACACGGACAGGGCGCGGGAGCCCGGCCTCCCCCATCAGACACGGACAGGGCGCGGGAGCCTGGCCTCCCCCATCAGACACAGGGCACGGGAGCTCAGCCTCCCCCATCAGACATGGCCAGGACACGGGAGACTGGCCTCCCCCATCAGAAACATAGGGTGCAGGAGCCCGGCCTCCCCCATCGGGGTATGAGAGCTGAGGCAGCAAGACAGTGTCACCACCACAGCTGCCATTAAGGGGGCTCGGGAGCCTCCCCGAGCAGTGACAGGGAGAACCTGGTCTGGTCAACAACAGCAGTCTAGTCCACGATGGTGCACGCGGACCCACTGAGAGCACAAACCGCCCGACATCTGGGTTCTAGAAACACGCTCTGAACTAGCCCCCCTGCCGCTGGCCTGGCCCCTCTCATCCATCCACCACACGACTGCCACAAAGTGCCAACCTCCCCACCCAGTCTGGCCCCATCTCTCCCCTGCCTCCAACCCTTCCACGGCTCCCCGTGACCGCCAAGATCAAGTGCCCCCCGCCCGCCCTCAGAGCCTGTCTCTCCAGCCACACCTCCCATCCCCCAGCATAGGCCTTGGGCCTAGTCACGCAGAACCACCTGCAAAGCCCTCAGTGAGCCACGCTCTCTCCTGCCTCTCAGCCTAGACTGCCCTTCCCCATGTAGCAGACACCTCAGTTATTCAATCTGAGAGCAAGTGGCCGTGAGGCCCCCCTCTGTGGGTGCCCACCCTTGCAGGTGGCCCCGTGCGGTCCACAGCACCACTGCGTACCTCTGCCAGAGCCCTGCCGCTCGCTGGCTGTCTCTGGGCAGTGAGCTGCCTACGGGCACAGGCCACACCTCCCACAGGTGTATCATCAGCCCTCGACTCAGCCCGCGTTACAGGTGCTGGATGAATGTCCTTGAACTAATGCGCTGACGGGGGCACTCCTGATCTGACTCTCGCCGTCCAGCATCGCTCCAGCACGACTTCAGTTCACCGTTCCTTCAACGCCATCACACTGACCATCTAGACACACTCCTGCGGCCCAGTAGCAGCATTTTTCAATAGAATTAACACAATCCCACCGTTAACAATGAATCAGTCACCTGGGAGCTTGATAAATACCAATCAATCAGTCCCCAGAACTGCAGAGCAGACCCCCTGTGATGGTTAAGGTAGAGCATCAATTTGGCAGTTATGCAATGATGTAATCATCCTCCATTTTGTGATCTAATGTGAGCAGCCAATCAGTTGTAAGGGGAGTCTTCTTTGGGGTGTGGCCTACATCCAATATATGGATCTGCTGGCAAAGCGCATGCGCTCCAGATCCTGCATCTGATTCATTATCCTCTGACCTCTGGTTCATGGGACATGAGCCAGCTGCCTGCTGCCTGACCTGCCAACTTTGGGTTCGTCAACCCCTGCAACCACGTGAGTCAGGAGAAGCCTTCGGCCTGACACGTGACCTATGGATTTGGGACTTGCCAGCCTCCACAACTGCATGAGCCATTTCTTTGAGATAAATCTCTCTGTATACGTATTTTTATACTTATTCACATACATACGCTTCACTGGTTTTGTTCCTCTAGAGAACCCAGCCTAAGATACTCTCCATGGAGACGAGCTGCCTGCTGGGACTCCTCTGCACTCCATTTAACAGACATAACTGGAGACCCTCATTCTGTCATCATACCTTCTGGCACTTGCCCTGCGAGCCCTAAAGGAAAAGGAAAGGCCGACTAGGGTGCGGACAGCCAGCCCCACAGGTTCCTCACAAAGGCCCCACGACACACGGAGTAGAGGAAGACTGACTCTGAACCCAACTACTCTAAGTTCAAGCATCACCGAACAGCAAGGCTGGAGGCCCGGGTCATGCCAACAGGAAGCTTAGACAGGAGCAGCTCTGACTGAAGACACACGGGCACTCATTCACGTCATGCTTTAAAGGTGGTGTGAGCTGCATCTTGTCCTCCGGGCCAGGTTTTGCTCAACGTTTTTGCAGACGAACATGCTGCCAGCCGATTGAGTACATGGCCTGCCCGCGGTAAGAACACTAGAGGGCGGAGGGAAGGGAGACTCAGGGTCTTCCACACCGCCTGTCACCTGGGCCCTGCCCACCGTGCCCACCTGCCTCAAGATACGCAGGTGCCCGCTCTCGGTCATTCTGCTCCCCTGGGCACCCCTCTTCCCACCCGGGCACCTACCGTTCACCGTGGGCAAGTGACTGCTCAGCTCGGGGACGGGAGGGTCATTCTGCCTGTCCCATCTCTGGCCGTTCTGATGCTCGTTCTCTTCCACCTCCTGCTGTGACTCGTGCTTTCTCTGCTTCTTCTTCCTCTTCTTCCTCGGGGATTCTGCAGCAGCGTCGGGCTGAGTGTCAGCCGAGGGCGAGCAGCGGCTGTGAGATCAGAGTCAGGCGCAGACATGAAGCCAACAGACAGCGAGAGAAGCAGCACAAATAAAGACAGCCCCGCTGAAGTCCAGTGGCCGAGTGCCTTTCGCTCTGTCAGAGAGTGTCCCTGAGAAATGCCACCCCAGACTCGAGCACGCTAGCTGCTCATTCCGACGCCCGTTCACGCACACCAGCTTACGTTCACGGGGCGAGCGTGGTCAGGACACACGTGCACCTGTTCTGCGTGGCCGGGGCCACGCGTTCAAGCGGAGAAGACGTGAAAACGTACGACCACATTTTAACCCTGACGGAGGCCAGGCCTACACACTGGACATGCAGCCGCTGTGACACCCCGTGACAGCAGAGCCTGTGCTGGGCCCACGGCCCTGGACTGCCTTCCACCCACGGTGACGGCCAGGTCTGGCTGCTGCCGTCCACCCACTGTCCCTCTTAGGACCACATCCCTCATACTCATCGCAGGAGACCTGTTATAAGTCCGGCTGGGTGCTGGGCACGGCCAGGCAAGAGGGCCCAAGAGTGCGGCACTCGAGCTGACGGTCTGCCTGCCAGTGGAGGTGCCCACAGCTTCCCTGGCCCCTGCTCTTACCTGTGCATGGCTGGGTCTCGGCGGTGGTCCTGTTCTCCGTGGAGCCCCTCCACTCTCTTCCTCTTCTTCTTCTTGCTGCCCACATGGTGGATGTCTGTCATGCATCCGACCTGCTGTCCTCCACCCTCCTGCAGTCTGTCCGCAGGCGGCTCCACCCGGCACTGCTTCCCGACCCCGTGGCGCTGGTTCTGTGCCCACGCTGGCCTCTCCTGCAGAGCAGACACGCCATCGTCCTCTGCATGCTTCCTCTTCTTCCTCCGCTTCTTCACACGAGGAACGGCGGCGGTGTCCCCGCCGTGCTGCGAGGAGCACGGCTCTGAGCCCTGTTCTCTCGTCTCTCGCGCACGGTGTTTCTTCCTCTTTTTAGGGATGCTCTGGGGGACCTTGCTGGCCTCTTGCAGCTGGCATGGAGGGGACGCGGAGTCCCCGTTCACCTGAGGCCGGGGAACAGGGACAGAGGAGCAGCTCTGGGGCTCTGCCCTCCCGAGAGTCTGGGAGCTGACGGGAAATGAAGGACACGTGGAGTGGGGGCTGAAGGGTGGCCTCGGACGGCTGGATGGTGTGGGAGCAGGCGGAACAGCCCTGTAAAGACAGTCAGGAGTGAGGACAGGCTGCTCGGAAAGACCCCGCAGAGGCCTCCTGGAGCCTACCCTCAGCCTGCCCTCATAGCCCAGAATTCCGAACGCGTTTCCTGCAACTCTCTGCTATGTTAGCAAAGACAGGCTGATGTTCAAGTTCAAAGTCTGCTTAAGCTAAGAAGCCACGGACCAGGGTGTCTGCTGGCCTCCTCACCGAGCAGTCAGAGAACCTTTGTTTTTTGATTTCTTTCTCCCCTGGGGAATTCTACTGTTTTTTTTTTTATTGTGCTTTAGATGAAGGTTTACAGAACAAATAGTTTCTCATTGAACGGTTAGCACCCATGTTGTTTTATGACATTGGTTACTAACCCCACGACATGTCAACACTGTCCCTTCTCAACCTTGGGTTCCCTATCACCAGCTTTCCTGTCCCCTCCTGCCTTCTCGTCCTTGTCCCTGGACTGCTGTGCCCATTAGTCTCGTTTTGTTTTATGGGGGCTGTCTACTCTTTGCCTGAAAGGTGAACCTCGGGAGTGACTTCATTACTGAGCTAAAAGGGTGTCTGGGGGCCATACTCTAGGGGTTTCTCCAGTCTCTGTCAGGCCAGTAAATCTGGTCTTTTTTTGAGTTAGAATTTTGCTCTACATTTTTCTCCAGCTCTGTCCAGGACTCTCTAGTACAGAGCACTTTTACAAACAAGAACATTTCTCTCTTCAACACAGACACGTTGAGAGGAAAATGTCACCAAGCAAGAAACAGCAGGAAAAGGAATCCGGTCAGGCAGCCTTCAGGTTCCACCCGCCCAGGGCTCAGGCGTGTGAACGCAGGAAGTCAGCCTCGTAAGAAAGGTGGGTGCAGCCTCCGCACCCCCGCCACGAGCCCCCTCAGATCGGGAAACCCGGGAAGCAGATCTTGCAGCTGAGTTCCTGGGGAGTGAGGCAGGGGCAGGATTCAGGGCCAGATCAGCTCAGGGCCTCCGAGCTACCTCCTGCTAGTCATGTGACCGCAGGACAGTGGACTGCCCAGCCTGAACCCCAATTTCTCCTTCATAAGCAGGTCATGACGCTGCCCATCCCATCTCAAAAGGTTACTGAGTCTGCGCAGAATTAAGTGGGACCGTCACCATCACCCACAGACTATGCGGCCACATGAACGGTACCACCAAGCCCTATCACTCTGTCTTTGTGAAAGGTTCAAAAGGACATTATGTGAAAAAGAATCTAAGAGAAAATACCCCAAACGTCAAATCCCTCAAATGTTTACGGGGCTACCACGTGCCAAGTACTCCGCTTGGAAGAGGAGTGTGAGAGAGACAGGGCGGAAGGGCAGCTGTCGGGGAGAGGTGGGCGCTGGGGGACACAGCCAGGACTGCCTTCGGAGGGACAGTAGAGGCCAATACTGCAGCCAACATGGAGGTGAGGACGGTAGAGCACCCCTGGGCCCGGCTAGCACCCCACTTCAGCCCCAACCTTGCGGCCTCACCCTGCTCCCTTCCTTCCTCCCCGCAGTCAAAGGCTTCGACCGCCCATCAGGCCACCATTTGTCAGTCATTCTCTACTGTCTGTCACGCAAGGCACCCACGGGGTATGGCCACCCCATCTGTCCACGGAAATGCCTCAAGGGGAGCCCCAGGCCCTGGGCGGCACACCTGAAGGCAGCTCTCACCACCACCACCAAAGTGAGCCCCCTGCTCTAGGGACCAGTGCCCCGGGGCTCAGCAGGGCGAAGCAGAGTGAGTCCCCACTCGCAGACAGGAGCCCATGACATGACGGCGGCAGGCAAGAACCCACCAGACAAGCTCGCGGGACGCTGCACTCACAAAGGGCCCCCTGCCATCTGGCTCTCTCCTGCTGTGGAACACAATCACAGGCTGGGTGGGCCACCGCACGGGTCTGCTCACGGCACACTAGAGTCACCGTATGGTTATGGAAGTTGCTGGTTGCTGACAAGTCAATTCTGACTCATGGCAAAAGGCTGTGACCTTTTGGAAGCAGATCACCGGGCCTGTCTTCCAAGGCCTCTGGGCGGGTTCAAACTGCCGACCTTTCAGCTAGTAGCTGAGCACCTGACCACTTGTGCCACCCGGGGACTCCACACATGGACGACAGAACAGAAACAAAGCCAGGGCTGCGGAGACCAGAGCGTCTGACCAACTACAGTGTCTTCACCAGACACGCCGAGAAGGGAGAGGCGGCGCCTGGGCCCCCAGACCTTCCCAGGCCTTCTGGCTCCCCTCACGCCGCCCACTCTCTCCGGGCCACGCACGCACTAGCCGCGGGGAGAGGCGGCGGCCCAGCCTGCGCCCTCGGCTTACCTGGTCTGACTGGCAGGCCCAGTGGCGGCGCCGACAGGGTGAGTGGCTTTCAGGGGGCGGGTGAGGTCGGAGGACGGTGGGTGGGGAGGTGGACGGAGGTCAGTGCCGGTCGCCCTCCGCAGGGTGTGGGCCTGCAGTTATTGACATAAATAAAAACTTGGTGGTCTAAAAAAGGTTTCCGTGAGTGAAGAGGGAAAACAGACGTAAAATAAAATAAAACAAGAACAGAAACAAACAAAGAGCCCAGAAAGAAGGAGGAGGGGACAGAAGGCGAAAAAGGCGGAAGGGAGGGGCGGAATGGTAGGGGAAGAATCAGAAAAGTGGTTTTGGTTAGAAACAAAAAGGAAAAAAGGAAGGAAATTTAAACAAAAAGCTCAGCACGACAATTACCCTGTCGTGGCATTACTGCCACCGTGTAACCTCACGCTGCCCCGAGAAGCACCTACACCCCCCTTGCTAAGGCCCCTGCTGGTCCCCCACCCATCGCAGGCCGTGTCCTGGCAACGACGCCGGCCTCCCCTGTGGTTTCAGATGCGCCTGGCAATCATGCCAACCCTTCAGCATATTTCATCTGTAGATGAAAACGCAGAGCCGCGATCTCGTCCCGCCGCCCAAAGCTGTCATCAGCCTCTCCATTAGCCACACAAAGTAATCAACTGATCGGATTATCGGAGTTCCCTCAAAACCCCACCACCTTCGTCCTAGGACGCCCCTTCTGTGATGTGCCAATGACTAGGGATGCCTGAGCCCCCCTACAACTTTCCACCCCGAGAAACTCCCTGCCAGCCTGCTCTTTCTCCCCAGACTCACCTTCTTGGCGGCTGACAGGGCCAGCTTTTTGGCTGGTGGGGGAGACATGATGCTCGCAGGCTCAGTGGCGGTGCTGCTCAGGGCAGGGGACTTCGGCTTCGCCATCTCTGCGTCGGCTCCGTTCGCCAGTGCTTTGGGGCGGCCGCCAGCGGGACAGTTTGTTTCCTGAGAATCACAGAAATGGGTGGCTCCACTCTTGGGGGTGTGGGGGGCCCTGGTGGCGTCACTGCTGGCAGAGTGGTCCGGGCTGGAGGTGCAGGAATCCTCCCCCGCGAGGTCGGGGCTCTGCTCGCGCCCCTTTGGCCCGTGCCCGTTGGTGGTTGCTTCGGCCAGGAGCTTCGGTGAGGTAGAGAGGACGGTGTCCCTGCTGTCCCAGGAGCCCGGCCTCCGGCTCTCCGACCTGCTGCCCTTCAAGTCACTGGTGCTGTGTGGCCCCTGAGGAGTTTTGGGGGACGGGGAGAGGGGCTGCAGCGGGGCACACTTCTTGGCCTTCTTTCCAGGCTCATCTACAATGGTCGGCCTGTGCATCGGCGTTTTGGAGAGTTTGGAGGACGGGGACCCCAAGGGTGGCTTTGGAGGGACATTCCCGTTCTGGGGCTTCAGGCCTGCCACAGAGCCGTTCCGGGAGACGGGCACGCCAAGCTCCTCTGTGGGGTGCAGCTTCGTCGTCACGGGGTCCTGTCGCTGAGGGAGCAGAGGAGGAAATGCCATCAGACACTCGGAGCACGTGCAAGCCGGGCAATCCTCTCCCGAGGCACCGCATGCCGGGGGGAGCGGGCGCGGCCTCCGCTAGGCCATCAGGACAAAGTATTCCGTGCACATGTGGCAAAGATAACGCTACAGCCCAGTTCTCTGGAGATTTTTACTATGCTGGGAGTTGTGCGCATACGAGTGTGTGTCTTTGTGAATATCTTTACTAAGAAAGCAGTACATTTCCACCCGGATTTGAAAAATACAAAAAACTACAAAGGAAGACAAGTTACCCAAAGTCCCGGGACCTAAACAGAACCGCTGATTAAGAGCCAGGTGGTTTTCCCTTTCGGCCTTTTCCTCTGAATGGTTCCGACGTGCGTGTGTGCATCCTAACGCTCACACTGGCCTTCCTGCATCCTAACGCTCACACTGGCCCTCCTGCTTGAACACCAAGCTCCCCGGGCAGGAACTCCATCTGCCTTGCACCACCACGGCCCTAGCAGCCAGCTAAGGGTCTTGCACACAGTGAGTACGTAAAACGTATTTCTTGAATGAACAATCAAAAGACTGAACCCTTTTCTGTATTTAGTTCCCCATCTACTTTCTAGAAATGGAATTTTAGGGCTATACGCTCGTGACTTATTGCCACATGCATTTACTGCACTCTTACTGAACCAAAACATCAAACCTGTTGCTGCTGAATCGATTCCCACTCATGGCGACCCTACAGGACAGAGCAGAACTACCCCATAGGGTTTCCAAGGAGCAGCTGGTGGATTCAAACTGCCGACCTTTGAATTAGCAGCCGAGCTCTTAACCACTGAGCCACCAGGGCTCCACTAGCAGCGTGTATGTCTTTTTCTAAATATTTGCGTATTTTGACACTGTTCTTTGCTCTTCTCATCCGTACCCTCTGCACACGCGTCACAATGATTTGCAATCATTTGATCGAGTTCTTTATACGTTACATATGTTAACCTTTGGTTGCATCTGCTGCAAATATTTTTAGAAATTTTGTTTTTTATTTGTAATATCTTATGTACAAAAATTTAAAGTTTAATTTAGCCAGTTTATAATTTGCTTTTCTATATTTCATCTCTTGATGTTAAGCTTACAAGGGTTTGAAAGAATTCACTTCTATTTTCTTCTGGGCTGTTTCTCCTTTTTCCCCGTTAGTTTTTAATAGTCTATTCCACATTAACATTTTTATAAAAGGAATACATCCTTCCACTGCACTGCAGAATCTTCCATTTGTTGGACATTTAAGCATATGGCAAAAACCAAAAAACAAACCCACTGCCGCCAAGTCAATTCCAACTCATGGCAACCCTACAGGGCAGAGTAGAACTGCCCCATAGGGTTTCCAAGGAGCAGGTGGTGGATTTGAACCGCCGATCTTTTGGTTAACAGCCGAGCTCTTAACCACTGTGCCACCAGGGCTACAAGTACATGGCACTTACACAATTTTGTTTAAAGTAAAATGACTTTGGTGTGACTGCAGTGTATTTGGGAATTATTTTCATGACAGACACGCCTGTGGTAACTGGGGCGGCCTTGCAGGAGTGACTGGCCCCCGTGGACGCACTCTCTGGGCACTTACTGCTCATCGCCAGGCATGAACCACACACCACGGTGTGACGTAAGGAAGCACGTGAGGCCTCCTCATCTCTGGGTCTGGGCTACAGGGATCATCAATTTTGCAATCAGATCATGTATTTTAATTGCTGTATCAATTCCAATGCTTTTAATTTCAGCTTTCCTCTCCTTCTGTTAACATTTTCTTTTATTTTGTTGTTGTTAAGAATATACACAACAGAACATAACACCAATTCAACAGTTTCTACACGTACAATTCAGTGACACTGATTACAGTGGTTGTGGAACCATTCTCACCTTCCTCTTCTGAGTTGTTCCTCCCCACTGACATAAATTCACTGCCCACTAAGGTTCCTAAACTAATCTTTCAAGCTGCTGTTGTCAATTTGATCCCATATAAGTAGATTTTAAAAGAGCACAATGCTCAAGGCAGATAATCTTTACTAGTCAAGCTAAACTACTGTTTGGTTTTGAGAAGACTTCAGGGGATGAGAGATGGAAAAACTAATCATTAACTTTATATGGAAAGGGAAGAAACCCCAGATAAGTAAGTAAAGCATTAGTGAAGAAGAACAAAGGAGGACTCACATTACCTGACCTCAGAACCTACTATACAGCTACGGTAGTCAAAACAGCCTGGTACTGGTACAACGACAGATACATTGACCAATGGAACAGAATTGAGAACCCAGATGTAAATCCATCCACCTACAGTCACTTCAATCTTCGACAAGGGCCCAAAGTCCATCAAACAGAGAAAAGACAGTCTTTTTAACAAATAGTGCTGGCAAAACTACATGTCCATCTGAAAAAAAAATGAAACAGGGCCCATACCTCACACCATATACAAAAACAAAATCAAAATGGATGAAAGACCTAAATATAAAACCCAAAACTATAAAGTTCATAGAAGAAAAAATAGGGTCAATGTGAGAGGTCCTAATACGCGGCAGTAACAGGATATAAACCATAACCAACAACACACAAACCCCAGAAGATAGGCTAGATAACTCGGATCTTCTAAAAATTAAACTTATGCTCATCAAAAGACTTTACCAAGAGTAAAAAGAGAATCTATAGTCTGGGAAAAAATTTCTGACTACAACAAATTCAACAAAAGTCTAATCTCTAAAATCTACAGGAAAATCCAACACCTCTACAACAAAAAGACAAATAATCCAATTAAAAATGGGCAAAGCATACGAACAGACACTTCACCAAAGAAGACATTCAGGCGGCTAACAGACACATGAGGAAATACTTATGATCACTAGCCATTAGAGAAATATAAATCAAAACCACAATAAGATACCATCTCACCCCGACATTACTGGCATGAATCAAAAACACTGAAAATAACAAATGTTGGAGAGGCTTCGGAGAGATTGGAACTCTTATGCACTGCTGGTAGGAATGCAAAATGGTACAACCATTTTAGAAAACGATATGGTGCCTCCTTAAAAAGCTAGAAATAGAAATACCATATGATTCAGCAATCTCACTCGTAGGAATATATCCTAGAGCAATAAGAGCTGTCACACGAATAGACATATGTACACTCCTGTTCACTGCAGCATTGTTCACAACAGCAAAAAGATGGAAACAACCTTGGTGCCCATCAATAGATAAGGGATAAACAAACTATGGTACATACACATCATGGAGTATTATGCAACGATAAACAACAATGATGAATCTGTGAAACACCTCACAACGTGGATGAGTCTGGAGGGCCTTATGCTGAGTGAAATAAATTAATCACAAAACGACAAATATTGGATGAGATCACAACTATAGGAACTCGTGAAAGGTTTACACACAGAAAGAAACCATCTTTGACGGTTAGGAGGGAGGGGAGGGGTGGGAAGGGAAAAACACTAAATAGACAATAGATAAGTGGTATCTCTGGTGAAGGGTAAGACAGTACGCAATACTGGGGAAGCCAGCATGTAATACTGGAGAAGCCAGCATAACTTGTCCAAGGCAAAGTCATGGAAACACCACAGACACATCCAAATTCCCTTAGAGACCAAATTACTATGCTGAGGGCTGTGGGGACCATGGTCTCAGGGAACATCTAGTTCAATTGCCATAACAAAGTTTATAAAGAAAATGTTCTACATTCTACTTTGCTGAGTAGCTTCTGGGGCCTTAAAAACTGGTGAGCGGCCACCTAAGATACTCCATTGCTCTCACCCCGTTGGCAGCAAGGGAGAATGAAGAAAACCAAAGACACAACAGAAAGATTAGTCCAAAGGACTAACAGACCACAACCACCACAGCCTCCACCAGACTGAGTCCAGTGCAACTACGTGGTGCCCAGCTACCACCACTGACTGCTCTGACAGGTATCACAATAGAGGGTCCCAGACAGAGCTGGAGAAAAATGCAGAACAAAATTCTAAATTGCAAAAAAAGATCAGACTTAGTGGCCTGACAGAGAAGGGAGAAACCCTGAGAGTACGGCCTCTGGACACCCTTATAGCTCATTAATGAAGTCACTCCTAAGGTTTACCCTTTAGCCAATGATTAGACAGGCCCATAAAAGAAAACCAGACTGAATGGGCACACCAGCCCAGGGGCAAGGATGAGAAGGCAGGAGGGCACAGGAAAGCTGGTAATGGGGAAGAAAAGGTTGAGAAAGAGAAAGTGGTGACATGTTGTGGGGTTGGCAACCAATGTCACAAAACAGTATGTGTATTAATTGTTTAATGAGAAACTAGTTTGCTCTGTTAACCTTCACCTAAAGTAAAATGAAAAAACTGTTTTTTTTTCCATGACCAAAAAAAAAAGGTTTAGTAGCGGTAGGTGGGCACATTAGCTTCTATTTTCTTAAACACTTGAGGGGAAAACCAGATTTACTTAAATAATTAGAGCCTCCTCGGATTATTACAGGCCCTGGTGCCTGTGTCCGGATGGAACCTTCAGATTAAAGGAAGAGGATCACTCAGGAACAGTCAAAATGAGAGGCTTTACTCTTATTTTTAAATTATACGGTGTGTGGTAATAAGGAAACTGCTCATTACTTTGCTAGTAATATTCTGATTTCTTTAAGTTTTTTCGCAGAGTTTCAAACACACATGAAATTAACTTCAGGCATATTTCTCGACAAACATTTTACCACATTAGCTGTATCGTTTTCCTCTTCATATATACGAATGTATATACGTGTACAAATATATGTCTATACGTATATACAGATGTTATTTTTCTAAACCATTTGATGAAGTTGCAGATGCGATGCCCCCTTACCCCACAGTCCTTCTGTGCGCATTTTCTAAGAACATCTCTTACACAACCACAGTTTAACGATCAAAATCAGGAAACTAACGTTGATACAAACTACTCATATTTTCAGTGTTGAAATACGAGGACAAAAATATTTTTTCCAGTGGGATGATTTGGAAATAGAGAAAATGGCTGCGCAACTTGAAGAATGTAATCAATGTCACTGAACTGTAGGTGCAGAAATTGCTGAATTGTTGTATGTTGTGTATGTAAATCTTCACCCCCTCCACACACACACTCACACACACTCACACACACTTTTCCCCCAGATGCTTAAGGTGAAGAGTCTGCTTGGGCACCTGTCACTGCACCTCTGAACGGGCAGTTCTCCAGTCCTTCCATGACCATGCTGGGCTAACGAGGGACACACTTGGGAATTATCGTTCTGGTTTGCTGGGTCAGGTTTCCTCATCACTGTCCCCTCTTCCTCTGGCCCCAATGTCAGCTGAGGACCAGGGTTCATGAAATAATACTGAATAAAACAGTCCAGCCTGCCAGCATACCCTTACCATCCAGGCTGGGCTCCCAGTCCAAGGAGATCTGAGCCTGGGACCCCCAAGGGGTCCTGCCATGAAGGTCAGCAACATCAACTCAACTGCCTTAGACAAGTACCTTTCCAGTCAGCGGAGAGGAAGCCACCCCATTGCTGATGTTCTTCTTGAGGTGGTCTGGAAGTATGCTTGGGCGGCTGGAGAGGGTGGAGGCCGCTCTGGAGATGGAGCCCTCCGGACTCTTCTTGGAGCCTGGAATCCTGGCAAAGGAAAAAACAAATCAGGGAGCTCCCTCACCGAAGCTGAGAGAAACGAGTCAGGGAGCTCTCTCACTGAAGCTGAGAGAAACGAGTCAGAGAGCTCCCTCACTGAAGCTGAGAGAAACAAGTCAGGGAGCTCCCTCACTGAAGCTGAGAGAAACGAGTCAGGGAGCTCCCTCACCGAAGCTGAGAGAAACAAGTCAGGGAGCTCCCTCAGCAAAGCTGAGAGAACCAAGTCAGGGAACTCTGTTACTAAACCTGAGAGAAACGAGTCAGGGAGCTCCCTCACTGAAGCTGAGAGAAACGAGTCAGGGAGCTCC